AAGGGCACCTTGCGCGTAGTTGCCGGAGAAACGCACGTGGCTTTGGGTTTACTCCTGGGCTGGGGCGGGTTGGGATTTGCGTGCGTCGGCGCCCCAAGGGTCAGTTCTGTCCGAGCTTCTCTCGTGCTTCTGGCCGGCAACTCCCCGTCCTCAGGGCCCCCTGCCTCTAGCCGCGGTCTGTTCGGACAAACCTCCCGTGTTGGAGCAAATTCCCGCTCCCTCCCGGGACGCCTTCCCCCAGGGGGGCCTGCGCTAATTTCCTGAGGAACGGGGGCAGCGGGCGCTTCCTTACCCTCTTCGTGCGGGCTCCTCTGTAGGACGGGCTCGGGAAGAAACGCAGTTTTCTACCAAATGCCCAGAGAGTATTTGCTCTCAACTCATCTCAGCATGCGGCCAACAGTGTTTAAAAATTGCTTTTATAGATTGGCCGTTTTCCTAAGGAGTTGGAATTGTACTAATACCTAGCATATTTCCAGGTGGGCCTGAAAAATAGAAAAAATTCTAATGTTAAAAAAAGAGGTTTTTTTTTTATTGTTTACCCTCAGTGACAAGTTATTATCAGTGCTTGTTAGTTTCTTTTTTCAGAGCTCTCTGGAAGGAAGTCCCCNGTTTCTTTTTTCAGAGCTCTCCGGAAGGAAGTCCCCTACCTCTTGGGGATGGGTTTCACCTTCCAGGGCGTCCCAGTGCCGGGGAGGGGCGCAGAGCCGGGCGGCCCCTGGCCCTGGCCCTGCGGGAGTGGGAAGGGGCGCGGTCGCCAGGGCGGCCTAAGCGAAGCTCCTGAGGCACCCTGAGCTCCTGGCCCTAAGTCAAGCTGCACTCTGTTACCACTGCACTTTCATTGACATTGACTGCGAAAGACCCTTTAATAAGACCAGATGCCAAAGAAAAATAGTTTTTAAAACTAAGGGAGTACAATCAAGTACAGGGAAGTCCTGTAAACCCTTCTCTCTGTGCTCTAAATCTGTGTGTCCGACCGTTTTCCTGGTTTCCTCTTGGCTCTCTCACATGGTATCACAACTTAACCTAACGTGTGGACCTTTGACCCCTCTTGTCTTACTTGAATCTAGCCCACGTCTCATCTCTATCTCAATTAAGGACACCTAGGAATTCCCAGATATTCATTCTAGAAACCTGGCAGCAATCCTAATGCACCCTTTCCCTTACCCCACTTAGGATGTTGAACCCATCCATCCCCCAGGTCTCCGTGTCTCTCCTCTCCCCCTCTCCCCGTACTCTCCCCACGGGCACCACTCCAGTGTAGTTCACTAGCTTACTTTTTCCAGGCTACTTGCTAATTGGTCTCTTGGCTTTCAGTCTGGCTCCTTTCTAGCCCTCCCTGCTTCACACATTAACCAGGGTGATTTTCTTAAAGTGTGAATTGGATCATAAGACCTCCTAGCTCAAAACCCAGTGGCTTCTCCTTGCACTTAGGACAGGATCCAGCATCCTTAAGCCTACAAGGCTGTGTCGAGGTCTGGCCCCTGCCCACCTCTCCAAGGCACACCTCTCCTGCCCCATGCTGTGCTTCAGGTTCATTGGCCTTTATAAGTAGCACTCTCTACTGCCTCTGAGCCCACTGATACAATTGTTCTTCCCTCTGTCTGGGAAACCCTCCCTCTCTCTCTTTGCTCAGCTGACATGAATTGGCCCTTTAAATCTCAGCTAAAAATATCAGAGAGCCCCAATGTAAATTGGTCTGCCCTGTTAGTCTTTTAGTATGTGCGTGCACGTGTGTGTGTGTTTTCCTTCATAGGTTATCACTGTTGGTAACTATATATTTGTGTCAACTTGTTAAGTACCCCCACCCCCACACACATTGTAAGCTCTTTGAGGTCAGGGACCAGTGCTATCTTGCACTGCTAGTGGTTAGCAAAACCCCTGACACATAATAGGCCCTCAATAAATATTTGTGGAATGAGTGATTGAAAATGTTTTAATAAGATCAGATGCCAAAGAAAAATAATCTTCTTGACTATCTGTGAGAGAGCTGTTAATCTCATATTACATGTGAAGAAAATGAAACTGGGATTAAATCACCTGCCCAGGGTCACACAGTACGTGGCAGAGCAAGACCTCAAGGCCAGGTTTTCTTTTCTGACTAAGCCTAGTATATAGATGATTAATATAGCTATAATTATATCTGTGTGTATATATATATATATATACGTATGTGTTCTGACACTTCAGCCATCTGCATTACACGCTCTGTTTTAGTTTCCTGGCCCTGCATGCTCCCTGGGGCACAACCTCCCCTCATGGGCTCAACCCTGCAGAGCCTTTAATGTGAGTTCCCACTGCCAACCTCTTCAGCTGCCCATGGGCCTTGCCGTCAGCTCAGAATCAGGCAGATCTCCCCTTGGCTGTTGGAGAACACGCAGGGACTTCCAGAGGCCTCACATGCCTGAACTTGCACCTTCACTGCACTTTCTACCATCTTGGGTCACTGGCCACACCCCTAAGCTCCTGCCATCAGAAATTCCAAATGGAAGCATCACATGAGTTCCCTTTAGGTCCGGTCCCCCACTTCAATGGAAACCCGCCATTCCCCTCCTGCCCTGGGATTCTGCCTGAGGAGGAAGGGGCAAGAACCCTTCACCATTTTGATATTTAATCTTTGTTGTTTTCCAAATTGCTCCAATCCTCTGTGGCTGGAAGCATCCCTTAGTTGGTTCCTAGACAAAAAACAAACAAACAACAAGAAACAAGAAGAAAAAAAAAGCCTGTTCTTCCTGTTTCTGTTCACATCTCTTCTGTTTTATTTGGGTGGTGCCTTTTGAACGGGGATTATGGTGTCTCCGTGATTGACCATCTCTCCTGTGTTGGTATCCTTTCTGTTTAGCCTGAAGATCTGCTTCATGGGGAAGGGGAGGTAGGTGCCCTTAGCTGTGTGTTTGGGAAGGGGACAGGATGGAAAGTGAGGGGTGGGAGAGAGCACATCAGTGATTACCTGGAACTATTATCCCCTCATGCAGGGTTCAAGAGATAAGACCAGGGTTTGGCAAGGATTATCTTTCAACCTGACTCTTAAATAGAATTTCTGGGAAGTTAAAAAAAAATTCTGATGCCTTGACCTCATCACCATAGATTCCAGTTTAATTGTTCCAGATAGGGATCAAGTCAACAGTTATTTTAAAAGTCTCCAAGGTGACGTTAATACCAAGCCAGAGTTGAAAGCCACTGCCATTGTAGGGAGAATCCCATGCACCACGATCATTTTGAGGGGTCCACATTTCAGCATTAGTACTTTTCTCATCTGATCCAAATGTCTGGGAGACAGAGGAGTTTGAGGGAATTAGGGCCAATTACCTGGGCTCACCTGGCAGGGACCCCTCTTGGCAAACGCCCACTAGAGAGACATCTTTGTCTAAGCCAGAAAGAAGTACTCTGGGTTCTCGGGGCCTGGGTTGCCAACTCCCTTAAAATTCATGTTCCTTTTATATCCTATGGCCTTTAAAATAAAGGGCAGAATGTGGTCTGCAGCATAACTTCCAGGATGCTTTGAGCATAACCTCAGAGTCACTGTCCTCTGTGCTTGTGAATGATCACCCACCATCACCACTCTTCTGAGGTTCCCTTGGTCCACATCAATCGCCCAAACAGCCCTCTACTTTCTCCCTTTGTGCTTTAGCTCCTGCCCTGGCTTGTTCCATCTGCAATGAGTGCTTTTAATGCCCTCCCTTCATTTCCAGATCCGACTTCATCTTTCAGACCATACGCAAAGCTGGTCTTGCATGGAGGCACTCCAAAGTCACTGCAGCCAAGTCACTCTCTTCCTTCAGAAACATCATTCCACCCTTCCTCAGCACCTCTCTTATTCTTACAATGCTCCACACTTTCTGCTGTGTTTCATTATTGGTGTATGAATGCTTTCTGCCCTTCTAGGTTTTGAAGTCCTTGAGTGTGGGATTTATGTCTTGTGTATTATTATATTCCACACAGTGCTGAACGCACAGCCTTCTATGTAGCAGGCATCCAACACATACATGTTGGATTGATTTTAAGAGAGAATCCAGGCGACTGGTGTGTTTGTCACACACCATGGTGAAAATCACCATAAACTCTATCAGTAATTCCTGGCTAAATGTTAAATTAACTTTTGGCATGATAATTTGACAAAGGTACCAATATTATTAAAGGTTACTGTTATGGATACTTGCCTTTCTCCCCCTTGCTACTCAGTATCTACATCTCCTTCCTGTGCTTCCTATGTTTTATGAACTTTCTGGTTTGTAAGCTTTGTGGGGAGTAAGGCTTGTCTCCCACTGCAGAAGCTGCAAAGTCCTGATTCTTGCTTTTTCCACCTCCTTGCCTGGTAGTGTGGACACCGCACCTCGGCTCCAACAGTTGTAGCTGAATGTAGGGACTCTGAAGCTGAAACGAGTAATGCACAGTTGCAGGAGCATCGGAGAACTCACTGCAGTAGTGGCTGCAGCCGTGTCAAGCATCTGATCTCCAGGGCAGGAGGGTGGATTCCTCCAAGGCCCAGTGTGGGTGGTGAGTGGTCCTCTGGTCAAATGCTTCTCTCATGTGGTTCTGGCTCTTCGTCTTTGCCTTTATATGAGCCTGGTTTCCCAAAAATCCTGGCAACTTTGCAACCTATTTAGTGAGCTATTCGGGATCCTCAGCCAGAGATTGTTCCGTTGCTTTCAACCAAGAACACTATTGATAAAATTAATTTAAACTTTGAAAACCAGATGATGTCTTTGACTAGGAGTTAATGATTGTTGCTAACCATAAACTTTTTCCTAATATGAATCAATGACAACGGGAAGGTAATTTTACTTTTAGGAAAAGACTGAGTACTTTTGCAAGTTTATATCTACAGTTGCCAATTCTAGGTGGATACATTCTGAAACCATGCTGTCCTGATAATATTTTAGTGACTTTTTTTTTTTTTGCTTTTTTTTTTTTTAGGGTAGTTTGAGTAAAGAAGATGATATCTCTGTCTAGGAAATGGTCACTTGGAACCATGTCACTTCTACCTTCCTCACTGTTGATTCTCTTAATTTTGTCAACTCCTTTCTGGTGTCAGAGTAGTGAAACTTCATCTCTAAAAGCTAGTGATGGGACCCCGTTTCCTTGGACTAAAATGAGACTTCCTGAGCACATCGTCCCAGTTCATTATGATCTCCTGATCCATGCCAATCTCACCACTTTGACTTTCAAGGGGACCACGGCAGTGGACATCACTGCCAGCCAGCCCACCAGTGCCATCATCCTGCACAGTCAGCACCTGCAGATATCTAAGGCCATCCTCAAGAAGGGCGCTGGAAAGACACAGTCTGAAGAGCCGCTGAGAGTCCTGGAATATCCGCCTCATGAGCAAATCGCACTCCTGGCTCCCGAGCCACTGGTGGTTGGGCTCCCCTACACAGTAGTCATTGATTATGCTGGCAATCTTTCGGAGAGCTTCCATGGATTTTATAAAAGCACCTACAGAACCAAGGAGGGGGAAGTGAGGTATTTTTTTCTATATATTTTTTTAAAGCTTTAATTGCTGCCTACACTAAATTTATTATTTCAAGTGGATTATCTTTTAAAATTCCCTTGAATGTTGAATTCCTTCTTTGGTTTGGCTTTTACATCTCCTTTGTAGAGTTAAAAATGGCAGTAGTTTGTTTTCTTTGTTTTTTGGGCCTCATTTTTCATTCCATTTTAACCAGTTTTCTTGCTTTCAGCTCTATCAGGGTGAATGCCCATTTGTTTATTTAATTAGATTTCTGGGATGTAATAAACATCTTTAATTCTCTTGGCCTATATATTAGCTTTCTAGGGCTGCTATCACAGAGTACCATAAACTGGGTAGCTTAAAACAACAGAAATTTGTTCTCTCACAGTTCTGGGGGCTAGAAGTCCAAAATCAAGGTGTCAGAAGTCCTGGTGCTTCATGCTGTGTTTTTATTTTGCTTGTTGTCATTTTAGGATTCTTGCATCAACACAATTTGAACCTACTGCAGCCAGAATGGCCTTTCCCTGCTTTGATGAACCTGCTTTCAAAGCGAGTTTTTCAATCAAAATCAGAAGGGAGCCAAGGCACCTGGCCATCTCCAATATGCCATTGGTGAGTCTGAACTCCTCTATGTCTACTCACAGGAAAAATCCATGGACTCACTGACACTTGCATTATCCACAATGATAGTTATTATTCAGGTCCCTGTTTTGTTTGTTTTATTGCCTGACAGATAGCTAACTTTTCTTTTTCATTTCCAACCTATGCTTTTGTTTCAAGTGACAATTTATTTGTAGTCATAGAAAAAAATTGTCCCTAAAAACATGCAAGATTTCAGGAAGAGTGACATCCTAGGTCATCAGGGCTCATAGGAGGGAATCAGCCCTGACAACTTCAGGTCCTTCACAAAGCACATTGGCCTTCACTTTCTCATATGATCTTTTAAAAGGATTTTAAAGAGAATGGTTTGTTGAATAAGGCCATATTTCTAATATATAGTTAATTTCTATAATTTCTGTATACTAACTAACATTAACTAGCAGATAGAAAAAGTAAAGAAGGAATCTTTTCAGAATATTACAATACTCAAGGTGCACAATGACAGGTAGCTCAGTTTCCTTTAAAGACACCATTATCTTTCCATTTCAAAGCAGATGTGGGAGTGTTTCCTCTGATTTTTCAAAGTGGTCAGAAAATGACTGCCAAATGAATGAAACTACTCCATAAGTGCCACTATCCTAAGATTCTGGTAGCTTAGAAGAAACATCAGCTGAGCTGTCGTTCTGCAGCAGATGCGGGCCAACCCCTGAAGCACACACGTTTGTTCTGAGAGGCTCACTGTGGATGAGACTCAGGGTGGACTAGGCTTTGTTTGGAGTCCTGAAGAGTGTCCCAACTCATTCCTGTGCAATATCTTTTCATGCTGGGACCCAAAGTGCCACAGACCAACCTCTAGGACAGTACTTCTCAACCTTTAAAACTCTGTATCCCTCCTAAATATCTCAAGGATTCCTTCCTCAAACAAGATTCTGACAGGCCCCCCTAGAGGGTGGTCCCCTCTGAAAAGCATTCTTCTGAAAATCCCAGCCAGTCAAAAATTTTTGTTTCCTCTCCCCACATCCATGTATGAAAAGATAAGAAAAAAAAAACCTGTCATTTTTCTATTATAAATTTGGGACAGAGGACATGTTTTTTCAAATTATGGTTTCCTCCCCAGAGATGGGAGTGGGTTCTCTAGTTAGAAAATTACAGGTTAGAATAAAGGAGCGGGGAGAGGCTGATTAGACAAGGCCATGGAGAAATTCTCAGGCTTTCAGGGGGAAGGCCAGGAGCCCCTGAGGCTTTGAGAAGCTGCTGGAGTCTAAATCCAAGGACATCCAGGACCCACTTGTTGAGGATCTGCAACTCTCTAAGGTGATCTTGCCCTTGAACAGGAAAGCCCTCCTTGGGGGAGTAGAAGTGGCCTGAACCAGGCTGCAAACTTGGAGCTGAGGGGAAAGACAATAGAGTCTCCAACCATCATTTGGGAGGCTAAAAAAGCAAATAGTTAAGCACATTTAAATTTGAATTTGTTTATTTAGCTTACTTTTCTAATAATTAGTACAGTGTCAGGAATGGAAATTTTTATTTGGAGTTGGTAAAAGCATTTTAAAAAGGAAAGGCAATTTTGTGTCTTTCAAGTGAAACTTAAGTTGGCTACCAGTGTCAGGGTTTGAATGACCAGAGGGTGACCAGCTGGTGGGTATTAAGAAGGACCAGGTTGCAGAAATACAGGTGGAAATAAGATTAAAGGAAAATTGCTAGTGTTAACAATGGAATGCCCCAGGCTGGTTTTGAAGGGTCCTTTCTCTAAATCCTGCCACAGTGTTCTCTGTTGGCTGAGGTACTAGACTCTTCTTTGGGAGATCTCCTAGACTGTATTTCACTAACTTTTGTACTTTAAAATTGCGAATTTTATGGTATATGAATTAGATCTCAATAAAAAAGAAATTGAATGGGATGGTTTGGCCTTAATATCTAAACTGTAATCAGATATTGGAAAGAGAAATTGTAAAATAATTATACAAATGCCATGCTGTATATTTTCAATAAGTCTGGTAGGAAATTTCTCTTTATAAAATGTTTTCAATGTATTGGATTATTTGATGATGCAAGTTATTCTGATTTTAGGTTAAATCTGTGACTATTGCTGAAGGACTCATAGAAGACCATTTTGATGTCACTGTCAACATGAGCACCTACCTGGTGGCCTTCATTATTTCAGATTTTAAATCTATCAGCAAGATGACCAAGAGTGGAGTCAAGGTGAACCTGTGATTGTCACATAGGGTGACCAAATTGTTCTGGTCTGCCTGGGACTGTTTTGGTTTTAAAACTGGAAGTACACATCCTGGGAACCCCTTTAGTCACGGGTTAACCAGGGTTCATGATCCTACTGTCACAGGTGTTCATATTTGCAGTGAGGTTCTAATAATAAAAACATGTGGAGAAGCTTGGCCTGGCGTGTGTCATGGTCCTGGCTCCACCACTAACTGGCTGTACGACCTCGGCCCTGCTGCCTCTCTTTGGGACTGGTTTATACTTCTTTAAACTGTGTAAGCTGGACACGCTCCTGCAATGGTGTCTAAGGTTGCTTCTGGCCATAACTTTCTGCAGTTTGGAAATGAATGCCACCGACCATTTGAGCAGGTGATTTCTGGCCCTGGGAAGGAAGAAAGATAGAGCAGTCTGCTTGGAGTATTAAATGGCTCTAGGGAGAGCCTTTGGGCCAGGGAATACTGGACTACTGGGGGGAAAGTTCTTGTTTCAAGGAGCACTCTCTCCTGGTCTGGGTATTGTGTAATGAACAACCTCCTCAACTGTATGCTGTGGCTCTGAATGCAAATATGTTTTTTGGCAAGGAACTGCGGGATTTGAGATACCTCATTTATTTGTACTGGTTTTCACTGAGGCCTAGGTAGTTAGGGTTTCTCTATTAAGTTGCCTTTTGTTCCTATAGGGCTGAGGCTTCTTATCCTAGTGGAGATACCTCTACTTACCTGGGGACTTTAAGGGGTCTGAGACTTGAATGTAGGGAGCAGTTAAATTCAGCAGTGAGACTATCAACAAAAACACCCACTCGTTGATTTGGCCTCTTTTGTGAATCCTTTATGAATGCGTCTTTATATAATGCCTCTTCCATACTGTGATACTGTGATTTATAATAAATACATATTTGGTCTTCCTCCGCATTCTGGCACAGAGCTCTGAAAAGGCTTGAGTTTCCTAAACCAAGGGGGTGATAAAGATGTTTCTTGTTTTGTTAATGAGGAGACCTATGGAAAGCCCCTAGGTAGCCTAAGGATGGGGGCTGGTTGCCAGGAATCAACCAGGTGATTGGAGGGTTGGACTTGCAAGTCCCACCCCTGACCTCCACTGGAAATTGAGTTCTATCCCGAGCAGGCCGCTGTTTAATCAGCCTGGCCAGAGTCTGTGCCTCCACAAAAACCCCCAGGGACAGGCTTTCAGGTTGGTGACCTGTGGAGGTGCTGGGAGGGCAGTGCCATAGGAGAGCGCACTGAAGCTCTGCAGCCCCTCCCCACCTTGTCTTTTGTGCCTCTTCCATGTGCCTGTTCCCGAGTTACATCCTTTTACAGTAAGTAAATTTCTGGGTTGTAAACCGCTCTAGCAAAGTAACCGAACCCAAGGAGGGGGTGTTGAAGCCTCCAATTTATACTCGTTTGTTCACAGGCACAGGTGACAACCTGGACTTTGGACTGGCGTCTGAAGTGGGGGTGCGGGGCAGTCTTGTAGGACTGACCCCTTAACCTGTGGGATTGGACGCTGTCTTCAGTTAGATAGTGTCAGAATTGAGCTAAAATTGCAGGACACCCAGCTGGTGTTGGAGAATTGCTTGGCAATGTGGGGGAAACTCCCCCCCCCCACATACCCCCACGTTGAAACAGGGTCCCAGAATCCCTTTTACATACTAATATTTTTATTCCTTTTATTTCTTTAAACATATGTTTTATATCCTGTGTCTAGTAATTGTCATGGCTGAAGTCTCCGTGTATCTGGTTCTGTGGTTTATGGTTTCTGCCGGCTCTTGCTCACGGGGGCTTGTTCCTTTGTATATATTGTGAATTATATCTGTGAACTTGTTGTACCTGAGTTGAAGGTAGATTCTTCCAGAGAGAGTTTGTTTGCTATTGTCAGGTGACTGGGAGCACTTTGGGCACCACCTTAAATTAAATTACTTGGCTTTGGGTTTTTGGACCACCCGGTTATTGTGAATCTAGCTGTTAACTAGCATGAGGTTAACTTTTAGTTACACATTCTCTGAGAGGTATTCCATCTTCCCCAGATGGTACCAGCATTTGAAAAACACATTTCTCAATGCGGCCTTTCTGAGGAAAAGGGGTGGTGGTTTCTAGTTCACCCTTACAGGAAGGGTGTGGCCCTGTGGGGTGCAGCCTTCTGCTGAGATGTCTCTTCTGTTACACTGACTGTCTTAGGCAGGCTTTGGACTTTATCTCCTGTCCCCTGAGTCTTTCAATGCCATGAAAAACCAAAGCTCAAGTCTATCTGTATTGAGCTAGTGTCCTCAGGGCAAAAGCTGGCAGCTTTGTTCTGACTTCCGAGGGTATCTACTGTCACTTCAGGTCTGGCCTCTAACTTGTCTTTATCACTGTCTCATGAAAACATTTAAAGAGACCTTTTTGTACATGTTATCCAGCATTTGTAGTTGTTTTCAGAAGGGGGTTGGTCAGGAACAGTCAACATTAATACAAGAAATAGAACTTCCAGTCACCTTCTTTCATGTCGGCAACCATATTCCACAGCATGAAGCTGTTAACGCCAGTCTGCTTGCAGGCACGGAGAGCAGCCCCGATGGCATCTGCGTGACTTCCTTATGCCTTTCTCTTCAGGTGTCCGTGTATGCTGTGCCCGACAAGATCGATCAGGCAGAATATGCACTGGATGCTGCGGTGACTCTTCTAGAATTTTATGAAGATTATTTTAGCATTCCATATCCTTTACCCAAACAAGGTAGAGATTTCGCACAGCTATTACAAATTGTGGCATTTAATGACCCCAGCCATAAATTATATGCCCCTAATTACCATCCCTGTAGTTATCCCACCAGCCCCTCTCAAGTCATTAAAACCTGGCAGGTGTTAACCATTGGGTTGATCTGATCTCACTAAACTTCTAATGATAGTAAGAGCAGAACTTGATACAGTTCCTGAGGCACATGGCATGGAAATAATTTTGCCTTTGGACTTCAAAGAGAGACCCAACTATATCAGTGGGCAGACAGCAAAGGGCAAATGCTGCATTTTTTTCCCATTACTGGCACATACTTGGTAGGAACAGAGAAGATGCTCAAAAAATGGTTTTTGGATGAATGAATTTACACAGCAGAAGAAAATCTGCATTTTCTTATAAGACCCTTAAAACTATTTTGTGTTTGAGGTTTTTAGGTATATGAGAGTCTTGGGAATTCAAAGTAGAGTGGACTATTGAAACAATTGTTAAGATTATTCAATCCTAAACTCCTTGTCAGAAAGTTAGAAATGGAATCAGGAGGCCTCAGACCTGAGTCTGACTTTGTCACACAGTAACAAAGTGACTCTGAGTCACCACGCACCTTTTCCCTACTGTGAAAGGTTCTCCCAGCCTGGAGTTACATGATTCTGCAAGGGCAGCTTAGATTTTCTTTGGATTACTACATCCATCCACTCTGAAAGGCAGTGTGTTTGGGAAATGTATAGCTTAGAGATTGGTTAATATATTTGTATTGCTTCTTCCGAAGATCTTGCTGCTATTCCTGATTTTCAGAGTGGTGCTATGGAAAACTGGGGACTGACAACGTACAGGGAATCTTCTCTCTTGTTTGATGCGGAAAAGTCTTCTGCATCAAGTAAGCTTGGCATCACGATGATTGTGTCCCACGAACTCGCCCACCAGGTACGAAAGCTCACTCACACTTCTTAAATAGTGTAGTTAAACTGCATCTGTACTGCTTTCATGGGACATATGAGGCTATTCATATATTGTAGTGATAATTTCTACTTTTTCTCTTTAAAGCATTATTAATGTTTCATAATGTATATTAAAAGGTTTTTCTTTTTATTTTGATAAAATATGAGTTATATGACTATGTTAACACTCATATAACTGACATTACACATATAAAATAGATTTCCTTCTGAAGCCTTATGTTTATGGCTGTATAGATAAGCCAGTCTCCCTAGAAATGTGTGAATAATCTGAGGACCGTTTTCCTTTCAGTGGTTTGGAAACCTGGTCACTATGGAATGGTGGAATGATCTTTGGCTCAACGAAGGATTTGCCAAGTTTATGGAGTTCCTGTCTGTCAGTGTGACTCATCCAGAACTGAAAGTTGTAAGAAGTATTATTATTTTTTTACATTTTAGGTTAACCTGTTGTTTTGTTCAGTGTTTCTGGAAAATATTTACCGAGCTTTGATTACAGAATTCATAGGTTAATAACTTCCTTGGGAGTTTTTAGATATGAATCATGTTCCCAAAATGCTAGTGAACTTTCAAGATGTATATCACAAAGGCTTATTTCCAAACTAAATTGTGAATCTATGATTGCTGTAAAGTTGTATCAAATTTTTTTCTCCCTTAATAGAGAAATAGAAATAATAGAAATGGAAATAGAAATAATGAAAGCCTGTCTGTTCTGTATCATTTCTTCAACCGTCAGGTTGTTCACTGAAGGAGTATTAGGTACAGATTGCTATTTCAGGAGAATTCTACTTGCCATATCAAATGAATTATGCTTAAGGTAACTGCATATTTGATTGTATATGAACCTAGACTCATGGATCACAGATTTAGTGCTTTGAAACCTCTACATGTGTATTTTAAAAATCATGTGTTTAACTTGTGAAAATTACATGCAGTAAAATTTAAAAGAAACTATGTAAACTTTATGTTAAAAAAAATCCTTTACCTTCTATAATGATTTCATTTGTTCGTATTTTCTATTTTCATTTTTCTATAGTCATATTTATTTATACATAGTTATAATTATTACACTATAATATATCATAAATATTTTTCTATGTTTCCACATAATCTTTAAAAAATGATTATGTAAGTGTATTATTCTATTGGTTACTAGGCCTTAATAAGTCAGGTTATAGTTGGAATGTGTCCTCCATTTTTCTTTCACTACATGCTTTTAAAGCTAAATTTCTTTCTTTAAGAGAGTATAGATGATGATTGGAAATGTTGAAATTATTATACATTTTAGTTTCTTGTTTTGTTGCTGTTTGGCTGTAGGCATAATGGTTTTGTTTTTAAGTTAATATGAAGTTTTCTTTATTCTAAAGTGATAAGTAAATATTTAAGATGCAAGAAATCTAAAATGTTTACCAAAAGTGGGTGCTCTTTAAAAGATAGTAACTCTATTTTATTTTGTAAATTATATAAATATGGAATATATTGGACCAGAAATTTGAAGTATAAACTTGTTGCCCCACATCAGACCTTCCTCCTTTTATATTTTTCATCTACATGTAAATTGTAGCTGGTGTTGTCTTTTTTTTCTGTCTCGATAGGAAGATTATTTCTTTGGCAAGTGTTTTAGTGCAATGGAGGTCGATGCATTAAATTCCTCACACCCTGTGTCCACACCTGTTGAGAATCCTGCTCAGATTCGGGAGATGTTTGATGAGGTTTCTTATGATAAGGTAAAAATGGATTGTAAGGGTGCAGTTTGGACAGTAAAACTTATAAATACTGGGGTGGAGAGGTTATAGATAGGGTTGTAGGGTGACTGTCCCTTCGTAAGGAGCAACCCAGATTGACTGCCTTCTATTCTGACCCGTGCTGCTGGAGTTCACTCTTTTAGGTCTAGCTTGCAATTTGTCTCATAACCCTAAAGATGAAATTTTGGTAAACGCTTCGTTTACTCTGTTGTAAGTTGAAAATTCACGGCCTACCAAAACTCTGTCTTTTATTTATTATTCAACAAATAGGTCTTGATTGAGCACTGACTTTGTCCAGGCAAAAATTCCTGCCCTTGTGTAGCTTAACTTTCAGTGCTTTTAGGAGTGGTTTGCATTGTTGAACTGCGAAGTATTATTCTGCACAATGTGTTTAATAACAGATTTGGAAATTGTTGTCAATATTGAATAATTGGGAGATATTATGTAAAAATCCAGATTTGTGGCTCCTCTTGTGGGAGGGAGAGGAGGGTTCTGGTCACACTGGTCCTTTATTTCTCTTGGCAGCATTGGCTGGGGCTAAGTGATAGCTCCTTTATGAGATCAAGTTTCTGCTTTTAAACTTCCCCTTTCAATGTCACCATTTCTATTGTCTTCTCACTGAGGCAGAGAATGTGTCATTTATCATTGTGTTTGGCTGTTTTATTTGCAGCAAACAAAAGTATTTCTTGCTTGGATGTTTTTGTAATAGTGTAGGAGTGATAAAAAACAGATATAAACAAACACTTAGATCAGTGGAACAGATTAGAGAGTCCAGAAATAAACACACACATATATGGTCAGTTTATGACAAAGGAGCCAAGAATATACAATTGCGAAAAGAGTCTCTTAAATAAATGGTGTTGGGAAAACTTGACTCATATCTTATACCATTCAGAAAAATTAACTAAAAATGGATTAAAGACTTAAATGTAAGACCAGAAACTATAAAAATCTTTAAAGAAACATAGGGGAAAAGCTCCTTAACATGGGTCTTGGCAATGTTTTTTTTTGTACATGACACCAAAGTACAAGCAACAAAAGCAAAAACAAACAAGTGGGACTACAATAAACTAAAAAGCTTCTGCACAGCAAAAGAAACAAAATGAAAAAAACCACATATGGAATGGGAAAAATATTTGCAAATCATATATCTAATAAAGGGTTAGAATACAAAATATATAAAAGACTTATACAACTCAATAACAAAATCAATCTGATTTTTAAAATGGGCAGTGGAAATGAATAAAAATTTTACAAAGACAACATACAGATGGCCAACAGGTACATGAAACAACGCTCAACATCACTAATCATCAGAGAAATGCAAATCAAAACCACAGTAAGATACCACCTCACACCTATTCAAATGCCTACTATGAAAAAGACAAGAAATAACAAGTGTTGGCAAGGATTTGGAGAAAAGGGGACCCTTGTGTACTGTTGGTGGGAATGTATATTGGTGTGGCCACTATGGAAAACAGTGTAGAGGTTCCTCAAAAAATTAAAAATAAAGCTACCATATGATTCAGTAATTTCACTTCTGTGTATTTATCCAAAGAAAATGAAAACACTAATCTAAAGATATATGCACTCTCATGTTCATTGTGGCATTACTTGCAATAGCCAAGATATGGAAACCTAAATGTTCATGGATGGATGGATGGATGGATGGTGTGTGGCATATATATGATGGAGTATTATTCAGCCATAAAAAGAAAATCTTGCCATTTGTGACAACATGGATGGAACTTGAGGGCTTTATGCTAAGTGAAATGAGTGAGAGAAAGACAAATACCCTATGATCTCACTTATATGTGGAATCTTTAAAAAAACCCCACAAAAAACAAAGCTTATAGACACACAACAAATTGGTGGTTGCCAGAGACGGGGGATGGGAGATGGGCAAAGTGGATGAAAGGGGTCAGAAGGTACCCACTTCTAAATATAAAAAAGTCATAGGATGTAATGTAAAGCATGGTGACAATGGTTAGTAATGTATTGCATATTTGAAAGTTGCTAACAGAGTAGATCTTAAGTCTTCACAGGAAAATTATTTTGTAACTATATGTTGATGAATATTAACTAGACTTATTGTGATTATTTTGCAATATATGCAAATATCAAATCATGTTGTACACCTGAAACTAATATAATGCTATGTCACTTATATATCAGTAAAATAAGTACCAGTCCTGTTGGCACTTCATGTGGACATTCAGGGATCCAGGCTTTGTCTATCTTGTGACCCCACCATCCCCTAGAACCAAAGGGAGAGGGAGACTACCTCTACCTTGAAGGGACCTAGGAAATTCTTCCAGAAAAGGAGACTTTTAAAAGAATGATTCCAAAATAAAGTGTGGTGGTTGATTAGATTGAGGCCAAAGTATATTTAACAGTTATCTGTATTGTCTTTCCAGGGATCTTGTATTCTGAATATGTTAAGGGATTATATTAGTGCTGATGCGTTTAAAAGTGGCATTGTACATTATCTCCAGACGTATAGTTATAAAAACACAAAAAACGAGGACCTGTGGAACAGTATGGCAAGTGTGAGTATGTCCTTTGTGTATCTCTACATTTGGGATTGACAGGCTTATTATCATTTTGGGTCCCCCCCTCCCCCCTTTGCATCATATTAATCCCTCTGAGAAGAATCATGAGTGTTTTCTATAGGACTGAGAGTGATGTGTATATTTTCGGTTTTTAGATTTGCCCTACAGACAGCACACAAAGGATGGAGGGCTTTTGCTCTAGGGGTCAACATTCATCTTCATCCTCAGTAAGTTCTTTCATCTGTAC